AATTTTAATATATTTTTTAAAGTTATTTTAATTTAGTTTAGAGGATGGAACAGCCAAGATGGATCAATAGGTCCCATGTTGTCCCAAAACATTATGTTATGTTTGTTATTCATACTGCAGACATAACCTTCTCTTAGTTTTTGTAAGACATTTTGAATATGGGGTTTTCTCTACAATTGTCCTGTAGTTTTAGATTATAAAAAAGTTTTAATACTGAAGAAACGTGATGTTGAGTAAGAGATACACCATTTTTTTTAGAGAACAATATAGCGAAAGTAAATTTCAGCTTCAGAGTAGACCGTGTACTCCAACGGTTTCTGTACCACCATTTTTCATCAGGTTTATCAGGAAGATGCAGTAAAAAATATTTAATGCCAAACATAACAACATATCAGTTGCAATAAAAAAAACATTGTGCTCCACTCAGTTATAGATTTTTTTCTCTGCTATTATAGTAAATGTTCATAAAAATATGTACATATACATTCTTACTTAAAAACTCTTCTTTTAGCTGTTTTAAAACTTTGTTCAATTTAAGTAAACAGTTAATTTTGGAAGAAAATTACTTTATGTCACCTTTATTTAGTTTATGTCTTTATTGTTATTATGTTGTTTTTAACAATGGGTACATACAGCATCAACCTGATGAAGACAAAAGTCTAAAATTGATGCTAATAATGTTTTATTATTCTTATATTACACGTTTATTTATCTTGAATTAATATGACTTTCTTTTGTAAGAAATTTCCTACTTTTCTTCATACTGAACAACGCCCTCTACACTGTGAAAGGAATATTCATCTGCAGAGGATGTATAAGTCTCTTCCGGATCAACGTGAGATTTTGTATCACTCGGGTCTGGCATCGGTGTTAAGCCGTCATCGACTTTAGCGTCAGCTGTTATAAAAACATTTGGTTTATTGTTTTGAAATTGTCACTACTAAACTCAGATTACAAATAAAACATTCAATGTATTAAAAGAAAAGATGTTAATATGGATTGAAGAGGGATTTATTTCAGACTTTATATATTTATGTTTTAATCACTGATTATACCATAGCTCCGTTATACAAATGATGGTTTAATTTACAGTTTAAAAATAATGCAACTCAGTCACTTGACTGATATCTGGTACCCCACTCATAATAGTAGAGCTTCTCACTAGTTAATAATGTAAATAAAAATGACAAAATATCATTAATAATGTCTTCTTGAGCTCTTACTTTTAAGTTCTGTATCTTTATCTAATGGTACTTCCTTTTGCAAACCTCCTCCCATAACTAACAGATGATTTTCAAGTTGTTTTTATTAAAATGATGATTTCGCTTTGAAGAAAGGACAACATTGTTACAGGAGTTAATAGGTTTTTTACATTTTTGGGTTAAAACTTTTAAAGTATTTTATTATTAATTAAACCCTGGTAAAATAACCATTTCTAATATACAACTTTCTGTATAACTTAGTTTTACTAACTACACATCAAAAGCCTTGCCGAGAATGAAATATTATGAAATTCAGTTGATACTCTATTCATATAATTTTGTCAGTTAAAAAAAAAACATTTGGAAGATACTCATTTATAAGTTTTTTACCGAACATTCTTCTTCTTTAGAGTTGTGGTGGTGTATGTTAAATCCTGATCGATTTATTGACACCAAAAGACAGTTTCCAAGATCAATCTTAAAAATAAATAAGAAAGATCTTTCTAAAATAAACAATTCAAACCATTCAAGATATAAATAAAATGTAATGCTGCTTGGAATAACATAAGGAAATATTCACCATCTAATACTGAAGAGTACATTTATTCTGAAGAGGACTGAAGGCAATGACAAACAAAAATACAAGCAGGACAATGTACAAAAAATATGTTAAATTGTTTTCAGCTGAGTCTTGCTGACACCAGTAAGGGGAGTGGGCATGAAACATAAGTTCACAATTTCCAAGACCATCCAATTCTGACCATGTTGTATCATGGCATTGATCTTTCCTGGTAACATGTGGTCAGGACAAAGGAAGAGGGAAACTTTGTGGGTGAAATGATAACTGAAAATTTCTACCAAAGCTGAGCTCATGTTCTCTATAATGTAAGGAACAGTTACAAAGGAAAAACCTTTACTTGAAGCATGAAAATTTGCTAACATAAAGTCAGTTACTCCATCAAGTCCAGGAGAACACACACTTCATGCTTCCAGCTTACATTTTTCTGCACACGATGAATATTGTGAAAGCCCCTAAACTTCTTTCAAACAAGCAAGAGAAAACAATCTTTGGTTGAAGAGCAAAAATGTCTCCAAGAAAGTTTTTATCGATCTCTGCTGGTTCTTTGTGTCTGTGCTTCAACTGAGCATTAGTGTTTCAAAGCAGCCTAATATAGATGCTGGTATATTCCTTTAAACCTTATGATGTAAGCCACAAGATGATATCCCACCATCATATCTATCAATGGGAAGGTAGAACATAAGATTGTCTAAGAGAGTAGACAATGCACACAGTTCCAGCAAGAATAGAACTAAAATGTCTACCATTAGAAAAAGAAGTGGAATCAGACTTCATGAATAAAAGTATTCCATTTAATATAATAACCTCTAGGGGGAGGAGAAGAAATTAATAAGGTAGAGAAGTGAGAAATAACAAGGTTTTACAAAGGAAAAAAATATCATTCTCAAAAGCAACAGGCAGGATATGACTAGTACTTTTACAATTAATGATCAGAAAGGCTAAGCTGCCAAGTTGCTGAGTCTAGTAAGTACGAGATCCATCATTAAGTAGAACAAGGTCATATTCATTGGTTGAAGTTTCAAGAGCCTGGCCAGGATCTTACAAGCAATGATGAGCATTACAAATCACTACAAAGTATTATACTAGTGTCAACATCTTGGACAAGTCAAGACAGTTGCTTATGGAAAAAAGTATCGCACATTACACACACAGAGGAAAAAGCAACCTAAACTACTAGTTACAACATCAGCATATAAACCTGCAAGAGGAGAAATATCCACAATATCAACAGGATGGTATGAAATATTCTCCCTAATTAAAAAGAATAAACAACCATGCCCAACTTTGGCATGATCAAGATGAATGATTGAATAACCACGAAACAATGACGGTTCTGAGGAGTTAACCTAGTTCCACAAAGAACAGTTATATAAGGATCCTCCGTGTCAGCAATATGTTAAGTTCTGTATCATGAACTCTTAAACTCCAAGCATTCCACTTTAAGATGGATGATAATAACGAGGAGTATCACAACCACACTACAACTCATGTTCATCTTGAGTGTCCAAAGAAACATAACATTGGTGTTTCTCAGCTGCTTTTATAAAAAAGTTTGTTGCATGCAAAATTAGTTTGGAAATGCGAGCAACATATCAATACTGATATAATGAAAGAGAAAAAATTCAAGTTGGAAAGCAAACTAGGAATAATACTAACAGGACCAATGTCACTTTTAGTAGGATTGTCTACTTGCTGAGACTGAACAAAAACTGAAGCCCATGTAGGCTTTTGATTACCAAAGACGGACTTTGGTCAAACCTGATGATTCAGAAAGGTCACGTTCAGGGATTTACCGAACAGCTCTCAAAGATGCCTGTTTGACATAATAAAGAAGCTTCTTGCAACAAAAGTGTCTCATTAGAAGATATCGTTTTTACAGATAAACAAAATTCAAAATTTCTGGCTTTGAACAGAATAATGCCTTGATTTGAGGCAAAGTAGTAAAATGATTTCCCGACCTTAGGGAGAAGTTTATTGTTTTTAGGACATATTTATGTTAGATTAGTAAATTAAAAATAAACTATTCCAAACTTAACTAGGCTGAAATATTGTGGAAGTATTGTTAAATTGATGAAAGAATAAAATCAAAGAAATCAAATAGCAAAATTTAAAACAAATCTCAAGTTAGGCCTAACTTAAACTTGGCCTTCGAAATCGCTACCACATAACTAAGACGTCTTTTATCAAAATAAATAACGTGTTACAGATTAAAAGACGCCTTTTAAAAATCGAGCTCTATATCTAATTATACTTGTCATAAGATATTAGTATCAGGCTTATATTTTTTCAAACTAAGTCGTTATTTAGCTCTATCATATATTATTATTTTCTCGTAAACAAAAATATCTACATATCTATCAAAGAATATCTATATATCCGTTCTTTCATTGGTTGAGATAAGTCACGTGATTTCATAGTATAACAAAGTTCTAACCAATCACCAAAATATTACAAAACAACACATGTGCAGATCACACTTCGCCAGCATAGGCCTTATAACGCCATGGCGAAATATACTGTTACGCTGTGCTATAAACTGTAACGTTTCGAAAAAAGTTTGCTTTTTTGTAATCCCCAGAGAGAAGGAAAGGAGAATTCATTGGCTTGCGAAAATTACAGTAAAAAACTTCAACACCAAACACTCGTTTTTGAAGTAAGCTCGCTAAGCCTAGATAAGTGTGCTTTGTCCCAGCCAAATTATAATTCAAGTATACTATTAGTATTATTGACATCATAGGAAGGAAGTGTAATTTTATATTAAAAATTTGCTTTAATATTATTTTTAAATATCACTTTTATACGAAGATTAGTTACATGTTCATGTTTACTTATTATTATATAATCTTATATTTCTCACAATGATAGGACTGTATTATAATTTATATTTGTATTACTATTAGGCCTAGAGTAAACTGTATAGGCCTTTTGAGTTTTGCAAGGAACGGGATTTGAAGTCAAAAGACATGTATCACTATCATCTACTACAGTCTACACAATGAATGAATGAATCGAAGTATTGTCCATAAACGTATACTCGTAGATTCAAAGAACTATGTATCCCTATAGTTTGTTCATCGTTGAACTATAACAGTCATAACAATACCTAATGATCTCTATCTTATTCTTAGCCTTACGTTATGCTGAATACGTGTTTTATCTAAATAATTTAATTTTGGGCTTGCTCGCAACCGACCGGACGAATATTCTACAAAAGCTGGAATGGAAAAATTCTACAGACAATGTCGTCACTTTTATTAATCACATTCATGCTGAAATCAAAGCTATTAAATAAAATAATATATGTACAAGGTCAAATTTGTCCAGAGATGACAAATTTGCTCTATCTGCTTTGAAAACCTACAAGAACATTGTCGTCAAACCATCCGTCAAAGATGGTGCTCATTTTGTCTGGCATAAAAACCTGTACATACGCCACCTTCAACAAATCTCTGATGACAATTTCTACCCCAGAATCGCTCTCTTCTACATGCTACCCAAAAATCACAAGCCCGGGTGCAACGGACACCCCATAGCCTTTACTTGTTCTACTGGACTGATATCCAGGTTAAAATTCAAGCTATTTTTCAACATTTAACAGACAACCTCCTTACATACGATAAAGATGTTATTAATATTTTTAAAAGTTTAACTACCATCACAATCGATTACACCTTCCCTATAGACATACAGTCTCTATACATCGTTATACCACACAACGACGGACTGGTTACACATCTCGACAAAATCTTCATATCCCAAGACAGACATCATACTGCAGTATTCACTCTTAATACTTTGACTTTTACTGACAGACATGTCACGGTTATAAGGAGTTGCCATGAGAACCAAAATGGGTCCATCCTATGCAAACCTTTTTGTCGGTTATGTAGAAGAAGAAAAAATAGGTTTAGCTTTCACTCACAAACTCCCTGCCTTTTATATCAGGTACGTCAACGACATTCTGGGTCTTTTCACTGGACATAAAGAACTCGAACGTTTCATTGACTAAGTTGAAACTTACCATCGATCGTTTAACTTTACTTTTTAAATTCCTAGTCAGAATGCTAACTTTTTTATAGATCAACAATGACACTAACACATTACTAGAGTACATTATAAACCACTGGTAGTCATTCGTATTAAAACTTCAATTATTTCCAAACATACTCTTCCGAAAGGACAATTCCTACGTTTGAAATTTCTAAGCTCTGACAAAGCTGTCTTCAGGTGTAGAGCAAACAACATGACCAATGTTTTAAAACGATAAAACTATCCTGATAACATCATCGATAAGGCTTAACTTGACAGTTTATCAGACGTTGACTGCCTCTACTCTAGTTACAGATTAGGAGAACTGTCAAACGAAACTTTCCTAACAGGAGACCAGACATCTAATGAAGTGTTTACTCCACCACTTTCCATAGTAAACTGGAGATTTTGTAAGAAGTGAAACACCCTTTTGTGATATAATTTATAGAAGCAGAGTGCTCCAGTCAAAAGAACAGGAATACTAGTCTTCAATCCTCAAGGGGCCTCCTTTTCGCCCCAATTTAACCCTTTCTCGCC